GACTGGAAAGGCATAAAGGCACAGCAGAACTCAAGGCCAAAGTGATTCCACATTTGCAGATGATGAGGCAAAGCTGGGATTGCAAGCAGCAACTCTGAGAAAATAGCTGGGAAATGTACTAGTGGTTTGAGGTCCAGATGCCCCACAATACTGCATTCCTAGCCAGACAAAACCAGTTGGCAACAACCCACCCACCCTCTTCTATATCCCAACCAATGTGCCAACAGAAGGGTCTTCTAGTCCCATGACCAGCAGAGTTATCTTGTTAGCCATCTCCAAATAATGTCCCACCATCGCCAAAGGAGTACCACCCAGGGACAGGAACAAGTGCTCCGTGGTTTCTCTGATATTTATTTTCTTTTTGGTACGCGAAGCTTGTTTGGCAGCGTTTGCACTAGGGAGACAAGATGCCCTTCTGTTCCATGTGCCCCCGGTCTACTAGCCAGTCCCTGGTAGGTAGGCACCTGTGCGCCATTTGCCATTCCTTGTAGGATCCTTTTGATGACTTTGATGTCTGACTTTTATAATCTGTAAGAAAACATACTCCTTGTACGCTCCTTTCGATGTCGACAAGCCTACCCCAATGCTCCTTCACCTGACCTACCAGAGCCTTCCTTCTGAATGACATTTTGTTGGACCAAAGAAAAAGTCCAGTGGTGTATGTCTGCCCGTTCTTTCCCTCTTATCTGGTTCATCTCCGTTCATCAGGATTGATGGGAGGATCCTCATTATGTTTTCCTCCCAGGAAAATAAAACACCTCTTATTCGTCAACGGCCCTCTCACTCTCCACGCCGTCTTGTTATCGATCCATAAGAAAAGGGTACAGCAGGGCAGTTCAACTAATACGCCCCCTTCGTGGATATGCTAGGGCTAGACCAATATCATTTCCTCTGCCACCCTTTGAACTCTGCCTATTTTTCCTTCCAGGTCCGTCTAGCCTACTACCCAGTCCTCTTCTTGGAATAAGGGTCCATCCTCTAAAATTGCCCACCATTCTAGCCGAATTGTCGGTTTTATGACAATATCTGAGGGTTGACTTCTGCTTCCTCCTTTGACTTCCATTTCCTCTTACTTCATCCCCGATTGAATTGTAATGAATTGAAGAATGAAATCATGTGTCATAACAAAAAAGGAACACCCAAATACGATAGTAAAACCTCACAGCAATGGGTAAATACACTTGTAACGGACAAAGAAGGAACACCCAAATACAATAGTAAAACCTCACAGCAATGAGTAAATTGATTCTAAAACCTCACAACAACGACTAGATACGATAAGTAAACCTCGCAACAAGTACATACAAGAATAGAACCTTAGAACAAGCAAAAATACGATTACAGAGCTGCCCGATTGTTTGTGTGCAGACGAAGAATGAATCAGTGAATGCAACGATAAAACAGTACAATTGTGCAGCCCAACCTTTGATCGACCCACCTCACATCCCCTCTCCTTATGTTCATTATGTCGCCACTACAACTACCCTATCATATGATCCTCCATAAGGCTCAGTTTGTGTCCTCTGTAGGAACGACCACTTGCTAGCCGATGAAAGATTACATGACAGATTCTTTTCCAGAATGTCTCCATACTTCCATGCTGCATCCTTTGTCGATGTCTGACAAAGATGATGCCCTGTGCACCTTCAATGCCATCATAATTATTGCAGAGTCTAGGTAGTCCATCCTCTGGCCCTGCACCTCGGTCCAGTCCCAATGGCCCTGGACTGAGTCCACCCCACCTAGAAGGATCGCTAAGGCTAAGGGGCGCAACTGCCCTTTTTTTTTTTTTTTTTTTTTTACAAAACACTCCCCTAACTGCCCTAGTATGAGCATATACAATGGCCATGGGCTCTATGGGGAATTTATATATAGACCTACCTGATATCCTACAGACCCCTAAACTAAAACCTCCAGTACTTCCGAAAGTCGCGGCCGAAAAAAAAGCCGCAACATGGTGGGATGAACGGGGGGTGCTAGTATAAATTCATTCAAGTGGAAATGTCACAGCTTTTTTTTTTTGGCTGGCCGTTAATGAGCCAGGACTTGCGGAAGTCCTGGTGGTTAAACGACAAATGCCGAAGAGTCTTTTTTTTTTTTTTTTTAATGTCAAAGAGAGTCTAATTTCCAAAAATGTCTAGGACTCTAGGCACATTTCCTTTTTCATTTTCCCCCTTTGCTTTTTTTTCCCCTCTTTGCGTTTTTTCCCCCCCTCTTTGCTTTTGTTTTCTTGGGGAAATTGCATCAGTGGCCCATATGAAGATGGAAATACCCGTTATACCCAGTCCCGGTGCCCAACTTGCATCTGTACCCGGGAAATGGTCACGCCAAATTATTTGCATGCCCAGGACCGAGGTGGGCCAAGTTTGGTACCGCAAAATTGCAATTACACCCAACCACCAGAATGGTCAAATTATGCACATACCCGGGCAAGTTATGTGCATAACCCATTTTGTCGTCCAGTTCCTGGTCATAGGGCCTGGTTAGACCCTCCTTGGAAATCCGATTTTTAGGAAATCGGCGTCGTTACACCGCGTCCTAATTCACCAAATTCCTTGAATGAATGTGAAAACGCTCCCGAGAGATTTCCTTGGATTCCTCACGATCCCCAGCCAAAACGTCCTTGGATTCAAGGGGTCCTGTGAGGTCCCTTGGGTTCAAGGAGTCGCGATTGACGGAGTGTTCTGGAGCGAGCGCCGACAGGAAAATTTGGAATCGATGTTGGTGCACAGGTCGTCCGTGGTCCATTGGGCGGACATCGCCGGCCTCCAGTACCCGACGGGCCCCC